AACTTTCTTTTGGGATGTATTTATTTGTTTCTCTAATTGTGGTATTTATCAATGTTTTTTTTAGTGCCAGTTAATTCTTTTTTTTTTTTTTTTTTTTATTAAGAGTATTATTGAGATATTCATATATTTGTGGCGAAGACTATATACACTTTAGACGACAATATATCAGCATCACAATGTGAGGACAATCTAATTTATATCTCTCCAAGGCAATTTGGGGTTTCCATTTTATTTTTTAGATTTATTATAAAGTACTTATACCATGATTTCATAATATTATTTTAATTTATTTACGTTTAATTAAAGAAGTTTATTAGATCAAACTCGTAAATTAATCAATTTTATTACATGAGGACCAAAGATGACATATATACCCTTATCCACAAATAATACTCAAATACAAATAAATCCTATTTTTAATTTGTTCAAGACCAAAAATTAAAAAAAAAAAAAAAAAAAAAAAACATAAAGAAAATATCAAGACTGCCGCCAGACCGCCGCGACGCCGACCAACGAGACTTCCACCGCACCGGCGATGACCAGCGACCCACCCACCGCACCATTACCACCACCGCACCACCACCAACAAGTAAGTCTTTTTTACTAAACTTTTGTTTGTAAATTCGAAAACATTAATCGAGCATTGATGTCCTTTTTACTAAACTTTTATTTGTAAATTCGAAAACATTAATCGAGCATCGATTCTTGATAAATATGTATGAATGAACATTAATCTATGCTTATTTCTTGTTGGGTTGCAGTGCTTTGGCCGATTTTGAAAAAAAAAATTGAGATTGAAATTGATTTTTTTTCGTTGGTTTCCCAAATCGGTTTACCCAGACCGATTTGTGTACACGAAAATCGGCGTTATAATGCCGATTTTTGTTAACCAAATCGGCGACACAATGTCGACTTAACAAGTCAAAATCGGCGTTCTAATGTCGATTATTGAGTACAAAATCGGTTTTCGGATACCGATATTTTTCGGATTTTGTTTTTTAAATAATACATTATATATTTGGTTAATTGATATTTTTTAAATTTTTGAAACGAAAATGTTTATCACCATTCGGTGGCGTCTACCAACTCCTTTAACCCAATCGAGTAGAGCTTTCCGTGTCACAAATATTTATTCGTAGATAATTCATTTGAATAATCCTCCATCAATTCCCTAGGTTGCTGCACGAAAGTATCAGAAAACGGTCTTAAAAAAACACATGTAATAAAATCGGTACTTAAAACCCGATTTTTGTAGTACAAGTGGGCATGACAATACCGATAATACAAAAATAAATTGGTGTTGTCATGCCGATTTGTACTACAAAAATCGGTTTTTAAGTACCGATTTTTATTAAAATAATCGGAATGTGGTTACCGACTTTAGTAACAAAAATCGGTATTTGCAGACCGATTTTTTGTATCGTCGATTTTTTTTCCCAACAAAAAACAAACGACCCAAAAGCAAAAATAAACGGTTTAAAACATACTTCATTGTGTTCTCCACCCTCATAAACCACCATATCATTGTTTTCTGGTTCCATCGTGAATGTTTGGTATGTATTTGATAATTTTGGTGTGTAGGATTTCTTGGTGGATTTGTGAAGAAGAAGGAGAAGAAGGAGGAGATTTTTAAGTCGTGAAAGAAGGAAGATGTGTTTGTGGATTTATGTATTTTATTTGGTCTTGCACAAAGGAAATGATTTTTTTTTTTTAATGTTTTGTGTTTTTTATTTGATTTTAAATTTCATTAAGGATAAATTAGTATTTTTATGTTGGAGGTTTTGAACTAATAAAAAAATGGAATTGCATATAACCGCCACCTTAATTATAAAAAATAACAACAGCAGCAAGTTTAAAACAACAAAATATACAAGATATAAATTACTCGAAAGAAAATCAATATTAAATATTGTTCTATACTTTGTTAAAGATACTACCGAAATATGATAGATGGAGATCTTTAATCAAAGATATTTACTTTAATATTATTAAAATACTTATTGAACTTATTATAATATAAAATATATTTCACTGTTTCATACCAAGTGATCAGAGTTGAAATAATGTTTTTGTAAATTAAAACAAAATTGTATTCAAGTAAAAAAAATACGTAGGAAAGACATTGGGATGTTTTTACCCATTGATATAAATTTATTTGAGGTCAAGTGGAGCATTTAAATATTTTATTATTTTAATTCATGTACTATTTTAATTTTATTATTTATTACTCTTAATTAATTAACTGAAAAATAATGAATTACAATAATGTTTTAGTGATTTCCTATATTTTTTGCTAGAACCTATATACATTTATTGAATTTTTTAATATGTACGCGACAACAGAAAACGACATATAAAATGAGACAAATCCGAGTAAACGGTTAGTTCTTTGTCAAAAGAAAATTCTAAATCACACTTATTTTTACTATAAAGAATAGTATGAAAAATGAAGCCAACTGTGTGTTCTTACATCACATCAATGGTCTGTAATTGAAGTCCTCTTATTTTATTTTTAATTTTATTTTTGCATGCCAGCTATGGTAGATATGTCAGTAATGAACTATATTTAATTTTTTGGCAATACTTTTTTGTCTACGCAATTACTAAAATTAAGTCTTAGTCTGTTTTGCAATTAACTAATTACAATCAATATATCTGTAACTTCGCCATATCATCAGACTTGATAAACAGAAAAAGCTGTATAACTCTGTTTATAACAAGCTTATTATTATTTTCTCTTTGTACTAAAAGATTACCCTACATGATATATATATAAATAAGCAGTATAACTTTCTTGCAAGTGATGGACATTTTTTCTAAGTCTTTTGGCAGTGATTATATAATAAAATTTCTGGTTTTTTTTTTTTTTTTTTTTTTTGTTTAGTGGCAGTGGTCCAACTATCTCTGTCTTCATCTATTTGTTTTCTTGATCTTTTAAAGTCTATTTTTAAGGTTAGATGAAATACATTGGGTGATTAAACTATAGATCTATGTAAATAACAATATACTAAGTACATATACATATGAGTATGTGTGTTATTATGTGTAAAAACATGGTTTAAGATCACCTGTTGTATTTCATCGTGTGTAGTATCTACAAAACCATCGTTTTAACCATGTTGTCACTTAGTTTAGTGGAACAACACGTGATGTTAAACTCACATTGATGTAATTAAAATTGGGTAATTATATGTTACACCTGCTTATTTACACTGAGCGAATTTCAACCTGATTGAAAAATCACCAAAAATCACATTGATGTAACTAAAATTGGGTGATTATATATTACACTGGAGCGAATTTCAACCGTAGACCCACTAAGCATACATAGACGAAGATGTGTTATCGTTTCATTTGTCACATCTTGTCACAGAGAAAAGAGTGAATGAGCAGATAAAAAATAGGCAGCGACTATTTGCAAGACGAAAATTACTTAGGGCAAGACCAAATTATTTTTTTTTATTAAATTCAGTATAAAAAGACTATAATAACCTTAATAAAATACAAATAATTGACGGCTGAGCATTTATCCATAAACTATCATCTAGGCTTGCCTTACTATACAAGCAAAAACTTCGGCAAAGCCTATGACTATGCGGCATATCATGAAAATCGAAAACCTCAAGATCCAGTCAAGAATAGAATTCTAGTACGAGTAGCAAACTGAAGGAAGCTCAGCTTACTCTTATCAAAGGTCAGAACGGGAAAGCAGCCATCGCCACCGCCGCCCCGAGCAGATTAAGTAGGAGAAGAGGTTAAGCTATCCTTAAAAAATTATTTTATTGATTTCCTTTTGCAAGACCAATTTAAAAAAGAAAAATTAATAAAAAAAAAAAAGAAAAAAGAAATTGAATTCACAATTGAAAAACGAGGAGGGAAGATTGGAAGAAGAAGATTAGCTCCACTACACGCGCTAGGTACAAAACTCTGCAAGAAAAATCGGAAAATTGGTTACACAATTGTAACAGTGATAATTCGACACACTAGCGTCGAAAAATCCGCTTAATATCGACACCAGAATGTCGATAATTTCAATATAATTCGACAGTTAATGAATGTCGAATTATTTTGAAATTTTCGACACTGTAGTGTCGATATAAAGCGGATATTTCGACCTGTACATGTCGAATTTTTTGTACGTGAAATGAGGTGCGAAAAACGAGAAAAACGATCACAAAGTACAATATTTATTACCTCTTTGTGTTCTTCGACCTTAGAATCCTCCATATTTATGTCTTGTGTATCCATAATGTCCTTCTTTTCAAGTTTTAGTAAGATTTGAGGGTTTTATGTGATAAGGGTTTTGGAGAATATGGAAGATTTTTTTGTGGAAAAAAATGTGTAAAATGAGGGTGAAGAAGATGTTGGTGTTTTGTTGGGTGAGTGAGTTCCCTCTCTTTTTTCTTTTTTTTTTATTCTTTTTTTTGTATTTTTTTTTTTGGTCTTGCAATAGCAATTAACTTAATTTAAATTAATAATATCTAAATTATTATTGGGGTTATATTTGTAATTTCCAGTCTTGATCTTAGTAAATTTATTTATATTTTGGTCTTGCATGAAGTAAGGTCTTGCACTTAGTAATTTTCGTCTTGCAAATATCTGCAGCCTAAAAAATATCCTAACCCAAGAATAGTTAAAATATATTTTATTCTTGATTAAGACCTTGTGAATTATGAGTGTGCAACCACATCAACATAATTAAGGGGAGGGTCCAAAATAGTTAGCAAGATAACGACTGCACCACACTCTACTGATAGTGAAACAACACTATATTATACACATTACATTAAATGTGTACATATACATATATAGATATTTGTGGGGAGATAATTTTACACCTTTGATTTAACCACAATCACATGCATACATACACGTGAATGTGTATAAATAAAAAAAATTGAATAAAAAAATCCTTGATTAGTATTATCAAGGTCAATCAAGTCTACCAAACGAGGACTAATAGTGTATTTGAACGAATCAAACTTCAACCACCGGTTGAGGACAAATATAAACGATTTTAACAATCCCGAATCAACTGGCGAAAAAGTAACTTCGTCTCTCAAGATTGTCGTTAACAGTCATAGTAACAAAAACTTTTATACATACCGATAAAAAGATATAAACCAACTATCCATCGTGGCTACATCGAAATGCGTCTTTAATCGCTAAAACTTTCGTCTACTGAGTTAAGAGCGCAATGACAAGAAACAAAATGAACAGAAAATAGTAACTAGTCAAAGCACAGAAATTAGAGCGTCTATCTGGGAATTATGTACGTAAGCCGCAGAGTTCACAGAAGCACCCTCTAGTCGAAGAGGCTGAAGCACATTTCCTGCACCAAGTGGAAAACCAAATAGTTACGACCAACGAAAACAAGTCGATAAGAAAATAAAACTGTAAATATCTTTATACCCCTAAATGCATATATATATAGATAGCATCGAGTACACATTTTGATAACGACAATATTTTCCAATCCCATATGCAGGAACATTTATTTAGCAAAACCAAAAAAACGGAGCACTTGGAAGAGAACGCAGATTTGACCAGAAATGGACTTGATCGTTATATTGATATACGATAAATGGGAAAAGACTTACATCGTCGGATTCCTCATTCTCCTCAACTTTCTCCTCTTTCTTGGGTTCATCTGCAGCAGGAGCGGCACCACCAGAGTCTGCAGATGCAGCAACAGCAATGGTGGCACCACCGCTAGGAACAGTTGCCAACTTCTCGCGGCCAGCTGCAATGAGCTCAGTGATATCTTTGTCCTTAACTTGTGCCAGAAGAAGCGCTATCATATCATCATCAGCTTCAGCTCCAACTGCAAGCCATATATAAACAAATTAAATACATGAATTCAAAGGAGAGAATTCCAGACAGTTGAGCTATAATCAATATTCCATGTGTGCCAATGGATGTTCACAATAACATAGTCGAGGAAATCGTTCGGAAAACGACGTAACATTCTACAGTTTCAAATAATTAGCTGAATCTATCAAAGCAAAGTGCAAGGCGTAAACAAAGAAGCGACACTGGCATCAGATAATTGCATATTTAACAAAGGCTTAACGATTTCAAGTGTTGCCATAAGCCAAACAGCAACTAGATTATCGAACGAACCTTTAATATGATACCATTATCAGAAGATTCAAACCGCATTCGCAACTTATGTCATAAAACCTAATTCAAATTCATTTACTACATCGGCATCAAGCATATTGCCGTAATTTCACTATCCTACCGATTAAAAATAAACAAAATAGAAGGCATTCCATATTCGAAAAGAAATTATACATCCCTAACAAAAGGGATCACTGTCATGAAAAAAATCAAGCACTGCAAAGAGAAAACACCATGCTGTATAAATATTCGCAGGAAACGTAGTCGAGGAAATCATTCAGAAATCATTCAGAAATCAACGGAACATCCACAATTATAAATAATTAACTCGAAACCGACATCAAATACTTGCACATTGATCAAAAACACTAAACCATTTCAAGCACCGCCACGAGACAAACAGTAACTAGATTATCGAATAAACAAATAACGCGACACGATATTAGAAAAAAATCGAATAGCATTCGCAACCTGTATCATAACACCTATTACAATTTCATGAACTGCATCAGCATCAAGTTCATTGCCGTAATTTTCACCATCTTACCAATAAAATAAAATAAAATAAAATAAACAAAATAAACTACGTTCCATAATTACAAAAAGAAGGAAGAATCCATAAATCTAACAAAAAATTATTCACCGCCGTGAGATAACTCAGGCACTTCACACACACACACACACACACACACACACACACACAACACACACACACATACAAACACACACAAAAAGAGGAATGCGCTACAAATATTCGAGGAAACAAAGGTAAAATTAAAGAGGCAAATACCAGAGGAGAGGATATGCTTCAGATCTTCAGCGGAAGGGCTAGGGTTTCCTCCGAGAACGGCGAGCAAGTAAGCAGCGATTATCTTCATCTCTGCTCAAAAACGCAAACAATAAAGGATTAATTCATGCATATATTAAAGTTTACAACTGTATATATACATATGTATAAACGCATTAGTGTGTGTGTGTGTGTTTTTGGTGAGAGAGAAAGAAACGGAGAAGAAGGGGGATTACTGTGAGTGATTGAACGCAGAGTTGAAAGAGGTAAACTCAAAATTGAAAATAGAATGAGAAATATTTGGGGCGATGTTGGGTTATATAAAGGTTGATGAAATGAACCTACTGGGTATGGCTAGGGTTTTAGGCGTTTATTTGATCTCCCAATTTTACCCCTCCTTTTCTTGTTTATATCCATATTGCCTCGTGATATTTTGGTGATCTATGCATTTGGGCCGATCAAAAAAGTCCATAAATTAATATCCACGAAGGTATTATAAAATCAATTTAGAGTGCGTCAAATTAATTAATTATCCTAACTCAAAAAAGAAAAAAATAATTAATTTAATTATCCTCTAGTACAAGCTCATTAAAAATTAATTAATTAATTAATGGAGAAAAGAATCTGAATACGTACTAGTGTAAATTAATGACAGTATATTTTAGAGTTAATGAGATAATTTTGTCATTAAATTGCTCGTGTTGAAAATATAATATGATAGTATATTTTAGAGATGGAAAATAATTGTCTTCTTAAAAGTGTCCTTTGTATGACAGTATTAATTAATTGTTGGGGGATCTACATGCAAATAATTGTAATTAATTAATTAACCAGATTTTGATTATATACCTGTTGAGTTGAATTAAAGTAATTTGGAAAAGAGAGAAATAAAGAGAAGAAAGAAAAAAAAAATTATTCACGTAATTTGGAAGAAGAGAAATGGAGAGAAAGAAAGAAAATTCTTTACCACTTCTATTTATAAGATTTTATAAATTCTAGTTAGGTCTAATTTTAATTTTCAATTAGAATCAAATACCTCAATCTTTATGTAGTAACGAGAGAACCCATCTAATTAGGAATCTTTTTATAACTGTTTGTTAGGTTCCTAATATTTGTCAAATGGTAACTCTAAAATTATAAGAATTATATTTTCGTGATGATTATAATTTTTTCATCAATTCAAGTACCATATTGCATATCTTAAATTTCCATTTTCGGAAACCTCTATTTCAGTGGTACCTTCAAAATTAGGAAAATTCTCAGAAAGTTCACTTGAAATCGATAAAATTGCGTTACTCTTTTTTCTTCCAATTCATAATCGACTATTACGAATTTTAATTTAATCATATTAAATTCCAATTAAGCTAAGATTAACAAATTAATCTTAGTTCACCTTATTAAGGAATCCTCTCCACAAGAAGTGTGACCCTCAATGGTTCAGGTGTAAGCTTAACTTGGACCCACGACTATTTGTGACTTGAATAACTCTTTATTCAATGACGGACTCGTCCCAAATGTAACAATTTAGATTAAACATATTTTAATCTATAAACGAATCATAATCATGATTGACGCATAACAACTACGTGTCATGATTCTTTAGATACAAATGAAGTGTCTGCAAGAACCTTAAATTATAGTTGCGTACAGTACGATCCCTTCGACTAAACATATGTCTCAATCGAACTAGAGGCACTGGTTCACTGAGGCCTCTAATATTATTCGATAACTATGTGATCGTTCTAAAGCTATAAAGTTCATTCATGATTGACTTAGAGAAACTCCTTTCTCTAATCACTGCACTTTCTACTTCGGCCGGAGATTCCTTGGACAATATACTTGAAGAATACATAGGACATCCATGCAATTAAGCAAGCAGTCAAATCCCTAACTACAATGTACATACTCCCACTAGATTTCGAATTGTGCGAATGTTGGCCCTTGGAGCAGTCTTCAAGGAGACTCAGGAATAAGTCACAACACAGCTGGTCCTCTAATGAAGTCGCAGTGATATATTATATTTAAGAACTGATGGTGTGCAACTATAATCATAAAATCTCTACTCGATTAATGGGAACCACTTAGAAATTTCTAGGACGAGGGAGTTCAGTGAACCCATCGACTATGAGCACCCACTTATGTATGCCAATGTGACTACATTGTAGCTGATGAGACTCAACTCACATACACTAAGTGTTAGTCTCAAACGAGAAATGCTAGTATCTTAATTATTGGCGGAATCCATCGACTAGGAACTTGTTTAATAGTTATCTTACTAAATGAATTATCTTATGATTCTCCTAGATCAATTCATATTAATTTAATAATAACAATAAGTTCTATATTTATGCATAATAAATTGAGACAATAGATACAGTTTGCCAAAAATAGAATTTCATTAATAACGAAAATAGATTGCTTACAAGTAAATATGGAAAGGCCACACCCACAAGTTAACTTGTTGGCCACCTACTCTAACAATACTCTCATATTATACTCTCATACGTCGAAGATATCTTGCAATAAATATGTAAGTTTTCGAAAAAAGTATGCAAGAGAGATCTTTTTATTTATCTTTTCTTCCCGAGCTCAACAATGCTAGAAACCGAAGGATCTCGAATTAAGCCACATACCATTTTCAACAACGGGCGACACGTTTCATTACATAAAACAAACACAATGCCAATACGGAGTCATCGTCTAAACACAACAGTTTATTACCAAGAAAAAACAACACAATGACTCATGTCTCAACATAAGGGGGTAGGTACTTCACACAAATCTGGAGAAAAGAAAAAAAATCTGAAATTTAAATATATATATATCAAGAAAAATAATTATTTTAAATTTTGCTAGCGAAGGCAAGACCCTCTGCAGCTAGGCTTTCCAAGCTGTCAACCGGAGGCTGGACCCTCGCAACTTTAGCAATCGCTTTGTTTTCTTCTGGAGTGCCGCTCTCCAAAAATACACCAACAACTTTACCGTCTTTGATCCAATAAGATCCAAACTTGTGAGTAGCGGAAGTTGGGCTGCTGTCACCAAATAGAACAGAGTCACCTACGTTGTCACCGTAGAACTGCCATGACAGGTCAAATGCTCGGGAATAGAAGTACGGGAGGTAGTCATATTCTTCAATTGATGTTCCTTTTTCACTGGCGAAAATCGCCTGCATAATTTGAAAGAAGCGTCGGAATTTAATGGCTAAGCAAATTGGAATTATCTATGTCATTGCAAATAAATTGGTGGAGATGAAAAAAAGAAAGATATTTACACATATGGAAGCATCAGATATATACCTTAACAGCCTGTTCAGCAGATTTGCGTGCGTGGTCAACATGTTCGACTCTTCTTACTTCATTGAACAATTTCAAAGGGAATGTAGCAACATCACCGACAGCATACACATCGGGAAGACTTGTCTTGAAGAATGCATCAGTCTGCAAACAAAAGACCATAAAAATTCATATTCATGATAAGCATAATCGAAAAAAGTTGCACTCACTCGCTAGAGCAACTTTGATATGCCTGGAGAACATAACTTTTACACACAATTTCCTTGTGAAGATAATCGTAGTGTGCACTCTCATATAAATGGGAGAAAAAATCACCCAGAAGATAAAACTGTTTTTTAAGTTGTAAGTCGTGAAATTTTGTAATGTGCTTTAATAACATAGAAGTGGTCCAAAAAGACAATTGAAATTCAAGAAAGAACTTTCAAGAAGCACTAATTTTCTACAGTATTCTTTCATGTTAGCATTGTTGTCATGTGCTAATTTTTATTACCACTAATAAACCATTGATCGTGAAAGTAAATTCAGTATGTAAACAAGTTAGTTAGAGAGAATCATTAGAATGAAGTAACACACCTTAATTCCACCCTTTTCCTCTTCAACTTGGCCCTTGAATAAAGTTGTGAGGGGCCTTCCACCTACACCAACAACAACAATATCTGCTTCTAGCACCCTGCCATCCTTAAGGTTTACATTGGTAACCTGAAAGATGTACAGAAAAACGTCCACGTGTTAGTTACTCTATGAAGTTTGTAAAAATATAATTAATCAAAAGAAAATATGGTAAGTTTAATTAATGTGCTTGAGAACTCACCTCCCCATTTTCGTTTGTACCAAATCCGACAGCTACAGTGCCCTTGATGATATCGACGCCCTTGTTTGTATAGTAACTTTCATAGAAGGCAGCTATGCCAGCAGTGAATAGCCTAGGCACTGTAAAATCATATATTTAAGAAAAATCAGTGACAGCCAAAACTACCCCAGCAACAACAATATCAACTAATTGGAACGAATTATGAAATGGAAAATGGGGAAAATAATGACTTACTGCACCAAGGCTCAGGGTACACCATCTTGACATCAATATTATTGACCCTCAAAGCTGCACTAAGTTCCAGACCTATGTATCCTCCACCAACAATTACAGCCTTTCCATTCGACTTTGCTTTAATTACTTCAACAAGTTTATCGGCATCATCAATTTCTCTCAAATAAAAGATGTTTTTGGCATCAGCACCTTTCACACCAAAGTCTGTCAATTGAATAACCTGGCCAAAGCAGTACATACATCAGAAACAATGGTCCACCACATGAAAACCAGACCAAAAGTTAAAACTGTTATAAAATTTGTCGAAGATGAAACTTAACAGCAGAACCAGTTGCAATAATCAATATCTGGTACGTGAAGGTATCACCAGCAGCACTGATAAGTGTCTTTGTAGGAAGATCTGCCTTGACTATTTCAGTGCTGAGAATCAAAGATATTCCTGTAAATAATCAAGATAAGCACACGTAAGTGTTCATTCAATCTCCAAGTGAGGAAGAGCCTCTCAACTAATGCACCCTTCACAACGTTCGTCAAATGTCTCCAGCTATATCCACAACAATGATTGAGAAATATTACCTTTCTCTGTATACCACTCAGGAAGGAGCCTCTCTCCTCCACTTCCAACACACACATGGAAACCTGGGAGCCTTGCAGTTCCTAGAGACAATATTTAATTTCAGATATAATCAGCTTGCTGGAAGAAGTATATAATAAATAGGATATAGTTTGCGATAATAAATGAAATCTTCAATAAATAAATAAAGATAGAGGAGAAAAGGTGATCCAACTCACCCTCAGGAGACAGGTATGCCTCGCTAAGTGCTGGACGTTCATTAGGTTCGACCACGAGACCATCATTAAGCATGTTTGCATTATCTCCAGGATGATAAAAAATAACATTTTAATACAAGGAAACAGGATACTCTGATATGCATGAAAGATACTGAATAGATATACTAACGTTTGGTTACGAAGCAGACTCAG